AAGTCCCAGTAATGGTCTGCGGGGACAGCCGGGCAGCGCAGGTGAGCAAGATGGGCAGGGCGGGAAAGCCTTATACTTATTAAAAATACTACTAATAATGCCAGGCCATGTTGGGGCGGTGCTATCACCATGGGTCAGGCTGGCCTGCAAGTTGACATAAATTATCTCACCAACCACCCTATTGTTTTCTGACCCCTGATCTAGAGATGAGGACACTGAGGCTGGGAGAGACCACATAACACGCCCACGGTCAAAGGCCCCATCAGTGGCAGAGCTAGGACTCAGGTCTAAGGCAAAGCCTTCATCCTCAACAACTATTCTATCCTGCCTCCCATGTGATCACAAGGATGCAGACTTTGGAGCCAGAGTCTGAATCCTGGCTCTGCCATTCACTTTGTGTGTGACCTCAGGCACAGTCATGGACCCCTCTGGCCTCAGTTGACTCACCTGTAAAATGGGGATACTAGTCACCAAGAGGAAACTGAGAGTTCATGTTTGTAAAACCTCCTAGCCCTGGAGTAGGCCCTTGGGGAATGCTGAGTCCCCTCTCCTCCCCTTAAGATGTAGCAGAGGTTCCTAGGCTGACTGGCTGCCCACAGTCACAGCACACAGCCTCATCACCTAGCCAAGTTGTGACAGCAAAGCCACAGGGCTGACACCTCATGCACCAGAACTTGTCCAGGGCCCTGGTGCTACCCTTTCAAAGCCAGGTCCTCAAGCAGCAGCACCTGTGTTCCAGTGAGGTTGCCAGGACCCGAGGCTTTCCTGGAAACTCCCTCGTGGGTGATTTCAGAGTCTGCGGTGGGGTGGATTCAAGTTTGGGGAACAACTACGTGCCTCTGGGAGCCCTGTCTGGGACGGGAGCCAGTCTTCAACATGATTTCTCTGAGCACTTTTTCTAGGAACAAAAACTACCACATGTCTGAGGACTTCCTGGGTACAATTTTGGGTCCAAGAGAAGATGTGGTGATACAGTGACAAGAAGGGTTTTCTCGTGCGACCCAGAGAGGGAGTGTTTAGGATGCTGGGCCAGGGCAGTGTCTCCAGGACAAGCATATGGTCCCACAGAGGGACCATCACCAGCTTCGTGTTTGTGTGTGTGTGTCTGTCCGTCTGTCTCCCTCTTCCTCTCTCACAAACACGTACTCACACATCCCGAAGAAATGACATCAGTAATTTTTGGCTCTGCACTTGTTATCAGAAGCTCGCTTTCTATTCCTGCTCTGTGGTGGCTTCGCCGTGTGACCCTGGACAAGGCATTTTATCTCCCTGAGCCTCTGATTCCTCACTGTTGAAGTCAGAGATCCAACTGGGTAGTTACTGAGTCCTGTTGACATGTGGAATCATTTAACTTGCAACCCAGACTCCCACCTCCATGAGGCCCATGGGGAGAGAAAGTATTTGCTTTGGGAGTCAGGCAGAGCTGGGTTTGAATCCCTGGCTCTGCCACTTACCCCTATGTGACATAGAGCAGGTCAGTCTACTTCGCTAAGCCTGCTACCTCACTGTAAGATGGGGCAAGTAATTATACCTGTCTCATAGGCCTCTTGTGAGGAGTAAATGCCTGCAAAGGGCTTAGACTAGAAACTGGCCCAAAGTAAGACTCAATAAACATTAACTATTGTCATCATTATGATGATTATTATTAGTAATGTTTTATTCTAAACAGCCTAAATCAACCCTTGAGCAAACAGTAGATGATTTAATATATGTTATTTCCTCTTCTTCCTCTTGCTCCCTGCCACCTTAGTCGGTGGCCCAGAGAAATAGTTTGAGGGGCCCTGGCTGTGACTATCTCCCAGAGGCTGGAGTTGGGCCCCAGCGTTGCACCAACGGCAGTGACTGATTTGGTTCACCTCTGTGTTCCCAGGGCCTTGACACACTTGAATTGAGTTTGGGCACTCAACAAACATTTCCTGAGTGAATGAATGAATGATGAATCCTAGCTGTCTGAGAACCCTCTCTGACTCTCCCCCACAAAATTATCCAAATCTGAAGGCAAAACAAAACGAACCACACTTAGTTGGTGCTTTCATCCTGCCATGAGCTAACAAGAGCCAGAAATTCTCCACTTGCTGTGGGAGAGTTGGCTCTGTCTTTTAGAGGTGGGACTTGTCGGGGTTCTGGGATTTGGTGAGTGGATCCGGGTTCCTCTTTAGCTGTAAATCCACCCTCCAGCCCCACTCCTGGCGTCTTCCCATTTTTGCCTTTTCCTGCTCAGGCTGAAGTGCCCAGCTCTTTACAGAATGCCTTATCCTGCCCACCAACCCCCACTTCCTCACACGTCCTCCAGTCCCAGGGCTGGGGGGACCCTGAGGGCCCTCTTTCTCTCCTGCTCCCCTCCACCTCTGCCCTAGGTCCACACGAGACGCACAGGCTCACTCCGGTCGGCCCAGCCCGAGACCAGCACTTCCCATGGTGGGGCTCAGTACACTCTCTTCAGAGTCACTTTGGGGGCTGGAAAAGCATGCATTTAGGGGCCTACCAGGGACCCATGGGATCAGCAGCACTGAGAGGGACCTGGGAATCTGGCCTTTAACAGGATCCTAGAGTTTCCCTGGCTCAGTGAGGCTCTGGAACCCTGCTCCAGGGTTCCCTGAAACCTGCAACAGAGACTCTCGGGCTACAATTAAGGTTTCAAAAGGCCCAACGGAAACCTCGCCTTTACCCTTGATTTGAGCACTCAGGCAATTATGTAATAAACGCTGTCTGTTTGGTAGGCAGAGACGTGCCAAGGGTGGGGCCCTCTGAAGGAACACGATACTAGGCGTCTGTCCTAATGCAAAGGTCAGCACTCCTGGGCTCTTTGGGACCTCGTTTCTGGACGACTGTTCATGAATGCACTGCTTTATTCCTTTTTATCCCTTCAGTAGGTCACCCAGGCCATCTTGCCATGTATGTCCCCTTAGCATGACTCTCTGCTTCTCAAAAGAATACGATGTCATTTGCACATCTGGAGATAGCTCCGGATCCTCCTTTCTACTACCTTTTAGGGACCCAACACATAGTAGGCCTTAATCAATATTTGATTAAATGACTAATAAAACTTAACTTTTAATGTGTTTCTTATGTACCAGGCCCTGGGCCAAGTTCTTAATCCAAATTATCTCATTTAATCCTCACCTTAGCTCTGTCAATGTGGCCTCTTTAATATGATTTTCCTTTCACATATAAGGAAACAATGACTCGAAGAGATTAAGTTACTTGTCCACAGGTAGTCATTAGTAGAGTCAGGGTCCAAACCCACCTGTATGACTCCAGAAACTAAACTCTTACCACTGTACCATACCACTCTGAGGAACAAGACTGCTAATGAAAGCTTCAAGTAAGACTCATAGTGACAGAGAGATTTTGCAGACTGCCCATATCTGTCTGTCTGTCTACCATCAACTACCCCTCATCCATCATTCATCATCCACCCTTAATCCATCCATCCATCATCCAACAACGATCTGTCCATCATCCATCCATCCATCTATCCATCATCAAACCATCATCCATCTGTCATCCACCTATTCATCATCTGTAATTTAATCCATCCATCCATCATTCATCCATTCATACATCTTTGAACCTTCATTCATCCAGCCAGCAAGGACTCATTCATCTAGAACTTTAATTTCCTTCCTCTAAACCAGCTCCCAATCTGGGACCAAAGTCCTACCCACATGTCCCTATTCTTACTCAGTTTTTTGATGTCACTAATATCTGTATGTCACCAGGACAAAAATAAAATGATATTCAAAACAATCCCCCAACACACAAAATTCAAGCCTTAAGTGTCATTCAGTTGACCTTATCTCCTCAGAGCAGAAACCCCAGCTTGAAGCCAGAGCTCTCCCCAGGGGAGGAGAAGTAAGATCAAGACAGAGAAGGAAGATGAGGAATTAAGAAAGCAAGGACTGAGACAAAAAACCTTCCCAGGACATCACAGACCATTGGATGTTGGCTCCTTAAGCCCAGCCCTCCTACAAATTGTTCAGATATGGGAACTGAAGTCCCAGAGAGTAGAAAGCCCCATATCTCATCCCTTGTTACTTTCTATATTTTATCCTAAGTAAGCTTTTAGTTCTCTCTCTTTCTCCAAAGATAAATCTGGCAGAACCAGTGTTTTATTCATTCCACAGCACCTAGCAAAGTCACCTCGCATGTAAATGTCACCTGGTTAGTATATGTCTATTAGAGGGACAAGTCAGTGGGAGGTGGATGGAGGGTTTGGTAGGGAGAGGGAAAGACAATCGGAAAGATGAATGAGTGGATGATTAGATCAATGTGTGAATAAATTGGTGGATTATCCATGGCGTGAAAGGATGAAAGAGTGTATGGAAACATGGAAGGATGGAGAGAAGGGTGATGCTTTGGAAAACTATTTCCTTCATCAATTCCACTGCACATAACAAATCCTATCACACCCATTAGGATGGCTGTTATCAAAAAAAAACAGATAATAAAAAGTGTTGGCAAGGGATGTAGAGAAATGGAACCCTTGTGCACTGTTGGTGGGAATGTAAAATGGGGCAGCCACTGTGAAAAACAATATGGCAGCTCCTGAAAAAATTAAAAATAGTATTACCTTATAATCCAGCAATTCCGTTTCTGGGTATATACCCCAAAATAACCGAAGCCAAGTCTCAAAGAGGTATTTGTACACCCAGTTCACAGCGGCATTATTCACAATAGCCAAAACATGGAAGCAACCCCACCTGTCCATCAACAGCTGAATGGATGAACAAAATGTGATATATACATAAAGTGGAATATTATTCAGCCTTAAAAAGGAAGGGAATTCTGACATATGCTGCAACATGGATGAACCTTAAGGACATTATATCCTAAGTGAAATAAGCCAGCCACAAAAAAGAGAAATACTGTATGATTCCACTAACATGAGGTACTTAGTGTAGTCAAATTCACAGAAACAGAAAGTAGAACGGTGGTTGCCAGGGGCTGAGGGGGGTGGCAATGGGGAGTTATTGTTTAATTGGTACGGAATTTCAGTTTTGCAAGATATAAAGA